TTTTTTTAAAATTATTCGTTCACATGGTATATATTAATTAATTATTATACCAATCATGAGAGAAAATGGTTTAAAAAATTATCAGTATAAAACATAATTTCAATACGTGATATAATATATATACAGTTTATTGATTGTTAATAATAATTGCAAATCAGTAAAAAAAAAAATAATATTTTTACACATACAATAAAAATAAAATAATATTTATACCTATACTGGCTATACTTAATATTTTACATTTATTAATAATTGTCAATAATATTTACAAAACAGTCTACAAATACATAAATACATAAAATTATTATCAATATCAGTTATTCCAATTGCTCTATATCTGATTCCTCATCACTGCAATCGCTGTCATCGGGCAATATGGTCAAAACTACTGGTTCGATTAAGGTGTCCCTAAGAATTTCCTTTCGGTTATCTGAATCTTGTATTTTTTCGGCATGCCTTACACAATTTTCCCAATCCTCTTTGGTTACCGCATCCAACGCTTCATGGGTAAGACGCTCGATATCAACCATCTTGAATGTATTWTTTTTTTTTGCTACTTGACCCTTAACTTGGGCCCATATAAGTTCAATTGCATTGTATTGGCAATGATATGGAGGTAGGCGTATTACTTCGTGACCTTTTTCTAATGCAATTTGGTCAAGCAAGTATTTTTTTTGGYGCGGAATTAAGGCTTTAACTTTCTGATGAAGTTCTGCTAAAGTTTCAAGAGGATGAAATTCGATATTTTTTTCATTCAACCATTTTTGTACGTCCGATTTTTTCCAATTACTTTTTGGGTGATTATGTACTAGTGTGGAATGATATGACGCATTATCCATCACCAAAACAGATGGCTCTTCTAAATTGTTTAATAATTCAATAAACCACTTTTTAAAAACTTCGGCATTCATTTGACTGTGGTAGTCGGCGGTATTGCCTGTATTGCTACGGAATACTAGTTTGGACCCTTGAATAAAGCCATAACGAGCACATCCAGCATGGCACACGATAAGCCGACCTCYTTTTCCTGTTGGAACTTTCAATCCTTCAGTGCCGTGTTCATTTTGCCAAATCATCGATCTCGAATGATTTTGATTAACCCATGTCTCGTCAATATAAACAACAGGGCGATCATCCTTCATCTCGCGCAACGTACAAATTTCTCGAAGAAATTTACATCGAAGTGCAACGATGTCATTTCTCTCCATCAAAAATTTACGGCCATCATTACACTTCTTATAAGAAAATTTCAAATTCTTCAATAAATATTGCATGGAGCGTAAGCATCCGGAATAATTGATTTTTTGTCTTAAAGCATTTAGTATCAATTGTGCAGTTGGATACTCACCTCGATCGTAGAACTCGTGCACAGTTCTCCTAACGACATCAGAATCAAAATCGTCGATCTCCGACACAATTTTTGCACGTTTGTAACCTTTGCGTGGAGACTTAAATAACATAACTGACGTTGATTCTTCGGTTTTTTCTTTTGCTTCGGAGCAAATACGTCGGATAGTGCGCTCTGACAATCCACATGCTTCGGCAGTACGTATTTGTGTGTTTTTAAAAAAATCGGCGGTTAAATTTGGATGTGTTGACAGTTGTTTTAGAAACGTATACACTTTATAAACAATTTGTTTAGTCTGGCTACGAGTATCACTATTGGTAAGAGACATTTTTAATAAATCTAAGAACAACAATTTATTCAAACAGAAACACAAAAAATATACAAAACACTGGTACAGCACACT